CTTACAGCACTTGGTATTTCCAACCGGTGATCCATCTAAGTACTAACCAGGCTCGACGTTGCTTAACTTTAATGATCGTACGGGAACCGGTGTTATATGGGCATAAGACATACTACCTTCCACACATCTAAGCTTGCAGCACCTGATATTTCTAAGTGGTCACTCATCTAGATACTGATCAGGCATTTTTTTTAATGGCATTTATTTTCAGGGTGTAATTGATCATGGCTAACCACCGAATTTTCTCTATTATCTGTTGTCTTGCATTCTTGGGAAATATAGTGGAGTAGTTTCCCATTTCTTCAATCACGGTTTGACACTCTTAAACTTCTCTTAAACTGGTTACCACCCAAGCTTAGACAGTTCCAGTCTATCCTGCTATTAATCCCGAAGCTTAGAAAGTTCCAGTCTATCCTGCTATTAATCCCCAAGCTTAGAAAGTTCCAGTCTATCCTGCTATTAATCCTGAAGCTTAGAAAGTTCAGTCTATCCTGCTATTAATCCCGAAGCTTAGAAAGTTCAGTCTATCCTGCCATTAATCCCCAAGCTTAGAAAGTTCCAGTCTATCCTGCTATTAATCCCCAAGCCTAGAAAGTTCAGTCTATCCTGCTATTAATCCCCAAGCCTAGAAAGTTCAGTCTATCCTGCTATTAATCCCGAAGCTTAGAAAGTTCCAGTCTATCCTGCCATTAATCCCCAAGCTTAGAAAGTTCCAGTCTATCCTGCCATTAATCCCCAAGCCTAGAAAGTTCCAGTCTATCCTGCTATTAATCCCCAAGCCTAGAAAGTTCCAGTCTATCCTGCTATTAATCCCGAAGCTTAGAAAGTTCCAGTCTATCCTGCTATTAATCCCCAAGCTTAGAAAGTTCCAGTCTATCCTGCTATTAATCCCGAAGCGTAGAAAGTTCCAGTCTATCCTGCTATTAATCCCCAAGCTTAGAAAGTTCCAGTCTATCCTGCTATTAATCCCAAGCTTAGAAAGTTCCAGTCTATCCTGCTATTAATCCCCAAGCTTAGAAAGTTCCAGTCTATCCTGCTATTAATCCCGAAGCTTAGACAGTTCCAGTCTATCCTGCTATTAATCCCCAAGCTTAGAAAGTTCCAGTCTATCCTGCTATTAATCCCCAAGCTTAGACAGTTCCAGTCTATCCTGCTATTAATCCCCAAGCTTAGAAAGTTCAGTCTATCCTGCTATTAATCCCCAAGCTTAGAAAGTTCCAGTCTATCCTGCTATTAATCCTGAAGCTTAGAAAGTTCCAGTCTATCCTGCTATTAATCCCGAAGCTTAGAAAGTTCCAGTCTATCCTGCTATTAATCCCCAAGCTTAGAAAGTTCCAGTCTATCCTGCTATTAATCCCCAAGCTTAGAAAGTTCCAGTCTATCCTGCTATTAATCCCCAAGCTTAGAAAGTTCCAGTCTATCCTGCTATTAATCCCCTTAGAAAGTTCCAGTCTATCCTGCTATTAATCCCGAAGCTTAGACAGTTCCAGTCTATCCTGCTATTAATCCCCAAGCTTAGAAAGTTCAGTCTATCCTGCTATTAATCCCCAAGCTTAGAAAGTTCCAGTCTATCCTGCTATTAATCCCCAAGCTTAGAAAGTTCCAGTCTATCCTGCTATTAATCCCCAAGCTTAGAAAGTTCCAGTCTATCCTGCTATTAATCCCCAAGCTTAGAAAGTTCCAGTCTATCCTGCTATTAATCCCCAAGCTTAGAAAGTTCCAGTCTATCCTGCTATTAATCCCCAAGCTTAGAAAGTTCCAGTCTATCCTGCTATTAAACCCGAAGCTTAGACAGTTCCAGTCTATCCTGCTATTAATCCCCAAGCTTAGAAAGTTCCAGTCTATCCTGCTATTAATCCCCTAGCATGTAGGGAGAAAAGATGGATTCAAGTCTTTTCCAAGGGTATTTGTGCGAAAGTGAAATTTTCCATTGCGCATGCACATGAATTTTTTTTTTTTGTATAAAACATCTTTCTTTGTTTTTGTTTTTTTTTAACTAGTAAAACTTTCTTATATATCGTCCAAATAAATTTTCTAAAATTCGGTCTTACTAGCTAGCTATTTACAAAAAGAAAAAAAGTCACTTCTTGCTTAAATTTTCGTTGAAGCAGTCACGCAAAAAAGAATATTGTTGCCTGTCATGGTTTTACGTATCTCTTTGAATGTTATTCTGTAATCATTTTATTTTATTTCTCTATCTCTCCAAAAAATATGTTTATGTTTTCCTCGGTACTAACGTTGCCTTTCTTTTTTTAAAAAATTGAATTGAATTTATTTTACCCTCTTTGAAAACACTGATTATTAGTTCTTTGGTGAATTTTCTGCTTCTTATTGAACGTTATTTTTTTTTATCGTGGTTCACAGGCGTTAGAGTGTTCTCTTCTTTAAGAATTGAAGTTGGACTTTATATTTATGTTTCAGATTCCCTATCCATACCCCCTATGACCCATGTTTTTCCTGTACCCAGCTATATTAATCCATATGGTGGCGGGGTAATGAATGCACAAGCATCTCCCTTTATCTTCTCTTCCCAACCTGTCTTTTAGGACCGTGGCTCCTAGCTTGGATCCACAGTTGAGTACCACCCCCCCCCCGCCCCCCAAAAATTCCCGGATCCTTTCCTTTTATCTGGCCTTATTAGTAGTGCTGTCTTGAATCTCTTGTCATGTGTATGGTTTGTAGCAACATCTCTTTATAATGAGGGTATCGGGTTGGCAATTTTCTGGTTGCTTGTTCTCGACTGGTAAAGAGCCTGAAATCTTTCGTAGCGTCTTGAGAGGCTGTTCTGATCAACATTTGTATAATATCAGGGTTATTGCAGTGCTGTGTCACACATGGGTGGGTGTCCTTGCGTTCACCTCTCGTGAGTAAACCCGAGGTCACATTATGTTGCAGTCCGCGCCAGCTTCTTTCTGCTCATGTCGCATTTAATGACATACTGTTTCTATTATTTAGGCCTTTTCCTTACCAACGTAACTCAACATAACCATAAACAACCAAAAATATAAATCTAAACCAGCTAAAAAGATGACCTTGACATTCCTTTGTCCAAAATCTGTGGTATCCGTACCAACTTCTACAGTGTGGAATTATTCCTCTTTGATAAGTCTCCTGATATACCGGCTCTCAGCGAGACTAAACTTAACACGTCAATTCTTTCATCTGATTTCTCGATTCCCGGCGACCTTCCTCTCCTTAGAAAGGACTCTGAAATCCACATGTATGGCCTGGGAGTTTATATCTGCGATCATCTTCTGCTGAGTTTGGAATCTCCAGACCATTTGTATATGTGTCTCTGTTTATTTCTCCTCAATTCAGTAAGCTATCTCTTCTTTCTCTATCGTTTCCATTCCTCTCGATAGCATTTCCAATAATATTGACAAAGCCATCTCTCTACGTCCGTTGGCAAACATATTCATGTGCGGTGACTTTAACGTCCACCATACCAAGTGACTTAAACACTATGTAACTGACCACGCTGGCATCCAAACCCTTAACTATTCAATCACTCAATCCTGCACGCAAGTGGCTGAATTTCCTAAATGTTTCCCCAGTAACCCGGACAGTAATGCTTCCCTTCTCGATCTGTTTTACCTCCATCCCTGGCTCTTGTCGCAATATGCAGCTCTGCCCTCTTGGCATCTCTGATCCTGTTGTTGTGTCTGTTAACATCTCCTTCCACTCCCCCTCCAGCCATAAACCTCCTAGTCACAGAATATCAACGTGCAGACTGGGAGTTGATCCATGATTTCCTTCGCGACATCCCTTGGAATGTGGTTTTTAATCATCCCGTTCAGAAATATGCGTCTGATGTATCCTCCTGGGTAAAAGCCGGCATTGAGGCTTTCAACCCAGCAAGAAAATACCAAGTTGAATCGCGTTCATCTCCTTGGTTCCCAACTGTGTGCTCTGCCGCTATAGCCCACAGGAACCACTTTTTTCTGTCTGTACCAGAGTGACATGGCTGATTGCAACAGAATTTTTTTTTTATCTCGGCACGTAATGAGTGCAAGCGTGTCCTCAATGAAGCAAAGTTACTGTTTGCTGGTAGAATGAAACAATGTATTGCTTCTTGCAAGTTTAATTCTAAAGCTTAATGGCGGCTCTGCAAGAGTTATGCTAAACTAAAACAAATCCTTGAAACCTCCTCTATTCAATCAATTCGAAGTCCTAACATCCACAGCTGATAAGGCTGAATGCTTTGTTCAGAATTTCTCATCCAAATCAACAATCGACTCATCCAGAATACCCACATCTGATTTTCCAACTAGAACTGACGATCTACTGAACGAGGTGTGTATATCCCTGTCGGTGGTATTGGACATCATCTTTAAATTAGACTCTCATAAAGCAAGTGTTGGTGACGGGATACTAGCTGTAGTTCAAAAGAAAACGTGCCACTGTGCTGGCTCCAGTTTTCTCCAATCTATACAACTATTGCCTCCCTGATTATTACTTTCCAGCCTGTTAGAAGTCCTCCCCTGTCGTCCCTGTCTTTAAGAACTCTGGAGACTCATTTAACTACCATCCTATTACTCTCCTGACACTGTACAATTTGTCTGGAGGGGGATAAAATAACAACATAGCGGAAAGATCAGAACAGTTATCATGAAAGTTTTCATAGAAAAGACAAGGAAGCTGCATTAAGGTTGTGGGATATGTCCTTAATCCGAGATGCCAGATCAAGACAAATAACATTGCAGATTCTTCTTTCAACTTTATCAAGAATCTCTAAATATATAGCAGGAGCACCAGACCAGATGTGGCATCAATATCCAAAGTAAGGATGAATTCTAGACCTATAAATATGTAAGATAGACTACGGTGAGAAAAATTGTCTAACTTGACACAGTGAACTAACCTTCCCAGCTGCAGACTTAGCAATTGATTCAATATAATCGTTCCACGTCATGTCAGTAGAAAACGTTAGTCAAAGAAGGCGCAATGAGTCACTCTCCGAGATTTTATCTATGCATGTCACCAACTTCAGGAACCAACGCTTTTATTCCGGGACAATAGCCTCATGGATCAAAACGATGGTCAGTGAATTTGATGATATAGTAACTGTCAGTTCAACGCCTCGGCCGGGCAGTGTGT